TGGCGCCCGGAACTGCACTGCATATCACGGTTAGAATTTCATAATATTAAGCCAACGAGAGCTTATAATATTTTTTTATTAAAATTATTTTTTCATATTCAGGGAACTGTACGCATGGGTACTGACAAAGAAGAATCTGTGGTAGACACAAACCTTTGTGTTCATGATTTCCGCAATCTATATATTGGTTCCAATGGCGTCATACCGACAGGTAAGAAATTCCAGAGAGTAAATTATATCTTTACACAAGCTAATCTATAAGTTCAAACATCTTTTGCGTAAAATTATTTTGTACAAATAGCGATTACGTGCAACCCAACGCTAACAACTATTGCGCTGGCAATCAAGTCTGCAAATCATATTATCAAAAAATTACAGGAAAAAAAAGAAAATAGGCTTGGTGAACGGGCCAGGCTATAGAACAAAAAAACCAATTATAAAAAACAGGATCTTTTAAGAACCTTTCACATAAGTCTACCGAAATCGGTAACTAGGGCATTTTGATTATCAGCAAGTCATTTCAAGTTATTCAATTCGCTTTGCGTCGTAGTTTTTCATTAATTCTATTTAACTAAAACTTGTTTTTACATAATAATATTATAAATTATTTTTTACATATAAAAATTCTATCAACTTTATTTAATTGTAATTGTACAGTTATATACTGTAGAAATAGTATATACAAACAATATATTTAACTTATTTATTTCCCATAATTTTAATAACTAGATTTAAATATCAGAATTTAAATTAAATTTACATAGAACAAGTCATATTTAATTAAAGTTAAAAGTGAATAAGTCATGTCATTTATATTATAATAGAAAAGATTTTTATTATATGAATAAATCTTGATGTTTAAACAAACTATTAATTAATATATATATTATATAAATTAGATTAAAAAAATAAAAGGGAATTTAAACAAATTTTAACAGTTTTCGCCAGTTAAAGTTAATTTTGTAGCGCTCATATATATTAAGAAGAGTTTGAGCTAATGTTCCTAACTGAGCTCTTGTAGAACCTAAAATTAATATGGAATTTCATTTTGATCGAATATAAAAATCAATATATTCGCCTCCACCAGTTTGAATCGATACTAATTTTAAATTAAAGATTCGACCGGTATAAATTGCATTTGAGTTGATTTGCTGTTTTTTGACTTTACTTGTAAGAACGCTTTTTTGCAATTTCATCTCCCTATCAAGTTCTCTCCATTTCTGCCTAAGACTCTTTTTGATTTCTTTATCTATTTTAGAACTGTGGTAATGAAAATGCAAAATATTTCACTTTGTAATAGGATTTTATGCCGTTAGATCAAAATAAAGTCAAAAAGTTCTTCAATAGCTGGTCTATTTTCTGAAATAGGACCCAGCATTTTTCAATAATAAATTTACACCATCCGGAATATTTTTTGGTATCATAGTTCATACTCCTTTATAGATGTCTAATACGAGACTTTATCATGGCTTCGTTCACCAAATGGTTGCTCTCCAGTTACAATCTCGTATATGACTATTCCGAAACTATAAATATCAGCAGCTTTGATGTATAGATTTCCACTTAATATCTCTGAACTCATAAGGAAACATTCCGTAAATTTTTTATGTCTGATGAATTTCGAAGTAAACATTTGACTTGTGTAAATTGCATTTGATTTTGATGTCAAAAACGTACAATCAAGTCGCGGTAATCCTTCCGGTAATTCTGACCGCAATCCATCGCATATAGCTGAGGCTAATTCGCCATCGAAAGGGTGTTTACCGAATGGAGGATTACCGACACACCACTCCCACATAACCATTCCTAATGCATAGACATCTGATGCCATGCTGAAAGTATTTCCTCAGAAAATTCATGTTGCAACAAATGGCATCACGCCAAACATTTGGCGTTTTTCCTTAGTAGAATTTTGTCTGATTGCAGCACCCAAATCACAGATTTTAGCTTCATCTTTATTTAATCGAAGAATATTCCGGGATGCAGGTCACCATGTATAATACCTTGTGAATGATTAGAATAAAGATCAGAACAAATATCATAAAACACTTGTATGCGATAATTCCACGTTTTTGGTGAATTGCTTTCGTATATGATGGCGCAAATCACCAAGGCTGGCATAAGGGATAGCTAAAAATATTCTCCATTTAAAAGATTATGTGCTATTCCATAGACATTATAGTATCGAACCCTATATATAAAAGATGTGCGAGAATATTTCAAGTATTATGGACTGGCCTTTCAACAGTTCCAATTTAAACTCCATCAAAAATCTTTGAAGAGAGTTGTAGAAAAGCGATTACCAAAACATCTTGGTGAACTGGGGGTTTTTATGAAAGATATGAAGGGAAATTCCTGGAAAGACTAATGAATTTGGTGAAATCAATGCCATATTGTTGCGAGCTAGTTATTAAGTCAAATGGAGAGGGAGTTTCTTACTGATTATTGTCAAATAAATTTGGCTATTTTTGTCTTTCAAATGAGCCATCATTCATGAAAATAGATCTTTTCGAGGAGCAATGGCAAAATTAAAATATCCAGTGTTTTCAACACATATTTAATACATATTTTAATATGTTAATAATTTTAATATAAATAATTTGATTTGGGAAAAATATATTCTTGCTTATTTTTGAGTTTCAATTTTTATTCATAGAAAAATAAAGTCAAAATTACGAATCTGAATATAAAAATTATAATGAAAATTATTAAGTTCAAAAATTTATATTATTTTAATTTAAAAACATCTTTAATAATTAACAAAACTTAATATTTATATCCATATAATTCTATATAAAAATAAAATTCAAAAATATTCTTATTTTATCTATTCATATTTTTATTAAAAAAAATTTAAAGTATTATATATTATATTTTTTGAATTAAAATATTATTTTTTAATTTAGAAAAATCAATTACAGTCCCCGGCGAAAGTAGTGGCGCGTAACGTTTTCGTCTATATTTTAATAATGAAGTATCCAAAACTCACGAAAGTTTGTAGATATAT